GGGGTGGTGGTCGCGGTGTCGTTAGACATCGCGAACGCTTTCAACTCCCTCCCGTGGCCCGTTATCGCTAGAAGAGAAGAGTGTCCCGGGATATCTCCGGGGCGTCCTTCATAATTATCTGTCGGGGCGCGGATTAGTGTATGTAAACCGTAGAGAGCGAGTGGTCCGTGGTACGGTCACGTGCGGGGTTCCACAGGGTTCGGTTCTAGGGCCGACCCTGTGGAACATAGGCTATGATAAAATCCTCAGGTTATATATGCCGATTGGGTGTGCGACTCTGTGCTACGCGGATGACACCCTAGTTACAGCGAGCGCGGATAACTTCGAGGAGGCACGCGTAAGGGCAGAAATCGGTACCCCGGCGGTGGTGCGTGCGATTGAAAGATTAGGGCTGAAGGTCTCGATAGTTAAAACCGAGGCTATCGCCTTTATGACGGAAGACATTCCGCGGGGGGCCGTGATCCGAATAGGTGGGACGGTGATCCCGATTGGTTCCACCGTGAGGTACCTGGGCCTAACCCTGGACTCGCGGTGGACCTTTCGGGACCACTTTAGTGCGCTGGTACCAAAGGCGTGGGGGATGGCGACCTCCCTCGCTAGATTAATGGCAAACATGGGGGGCCCCGGCGAGCGAAGAAGGAGGACCTATGCCGCGGTCGTGATGTCTGTCCTCCTTTATGGTGCACCCATATTGGCGCAGACGGTGGCGGAAGACCGCGGAATATTAAAGGCGGTGCGAAAGTTGCAGCGGCAACTAGCCCTTCGAGTTATCAGGGGGTACCGCACTATCTCGGGCGAAGCCGCGGCCATCCCGTCTGGGATGGTCCCCTTTGACCTAGCGGCCAACCGTCTCAGACAGTCGTACATCCGGAGACGGGACATTATTGCCCGGGATGGTGCGGTGTCCCCTGGTGCGAGCGCGACTCTTCTTGAGTTGGAACGTCGTAGGGCGATCGCTAGATGGCACAGGCGAATTGAGGAGCTGCCTCCGAGTGGCCCGGGCGCGGGGGTACGCGAGGCCATGGGCGGCGACTTGGAAGCGTGGGTGGGGAGGGCGCATGGGGCCCTCACCTACCGCATGACCCAGATCCTGACGGGGCACGGGGTGTTCGGCGCTTACCTGTACAGGATAGGGCGCATGGGCACCCCGATATGCATCTTTTGCCGCGCGGCCAATGACACGGCTGGTCATACCCTTCTGTTTTGCCCGGCTTGGGCGGAACAGAGGGGTGACCTATTAAACATCATAGGGGTGGATAGAACGGTCAGAGCGGTGGTGAGGGCCATCGTGCGCTCGCCCGAAGCGTGGGCCGTGTTCGCAGCGCTATGCGAAACGGTTATGAGGTGTGGAGGTAAGGTAAGGAGGAGGAAGAACGCGACCGCGAGCGGGAGCAGGCAGCCCGGGAGCAAGCTGCTCGGGAGCAGGCTGCTCTACCCGTGGGAGTATTGGCCCCTCCGAACGGGTAAAGCTCCAATGAACAGCATGTGGGAGGAGCTCACAGAGGTTGTACATACATGTAAATAGTAGATAATAAGCTCCAAGGACCGTTTGTGAGAGGAGCAAACGCGGTAAACTGTACATAGACTATATAGGTTAATATTAAGATTAAGATAGAATAAGCTAGATTTAGATTAGCACCAGAGCGGAGAACCCGCTGAACGAGGTAGGGAGGCGAATAAGACTCCAAACGCTGGGGGGCAGTCCGAGGTTATGCTGAAATGCGGTTCCGGACTGTCCCCCAAATAGGCAAGGGCGGTAGTACGTCTAGGGGGGAGTTTTTAGTCTGTAGGCGGCCGTCTCGGTGGGTCCTTGGAGTACTTTGTACTCCAGGGATCACGAGACGATTGAATCCGGCACTCCCAACGGTACGGCCCGTCGGGGGTCTTCCCCTTTCCGATGGGTGTCCCGAAAGGGTCCCCCTCGGAAGGGGGTATAAGAAGATTTTCTCCTCCCACGTAAAACCAAAAAAAAAGTAAGTAATAGCGTATTTCACTGGCAGAGCTGGTGCGCACTCAGTGCACTTTAAAGCTGTTGTACACAAATCGACATAAAAATGTATGTTTAATAAAAATATAGAAATAAATTAAACCACAAAATCCTTAATATATTTTATTGTGATATTTGATAAAATATACATTGGGTATTTTATTAACTGAGATCTCTCACTTTTACAGTCAGGTTAGGTTAATGTACAACAGCTTTAATGTGCACTGAGTGCGCACCGGTTCTGCCAGTGAAATACGCTATAAGATTGTGTAAGTGCGATATATGTGTATATAAAATTGTAACCCCGAGGGGAGCAATAAAGTTATCTATCTATCTATCTATCTATCTATCAGTTAAAAACGGTAAAAACGAGTATTAGTCTAATTATTCTTTTACTTTTTATTTTAAAAAATGCATATTTCAATAATTTTATAATATTTTTTCATAATACATTAATATTTATTAATAAATATTAATAATATATATATTAATGTTATTCGTAATATTAATATAATATTAGTAATAGTCAATTATCAATATTATTATTATTATTACTTAAAAAATGCAATTTTATGATAAGAAAAAATTCAATATAGATTAAATAATCGTTTCAATTTTTTTTAACTATAAAATGCAAATTTTAAACATTTGTTGAAAATGTTTGTTCAAATATCAACTAAGTTCTACCAAAAGAATTCCGTCTATAACGATAGTCCAAGAATATCATTTAGAATGTGTTATTTAATACTAATTGCAATATTTTATTTTCTTTTCACTGCAAATTACCAATTAAAAAATTTTTTTAACAATATATATTGCAGATATCAATACAAATGTTCTACCAAACAAATTCTGTGCGTATACTCGTAACTTCACGTTTGAAAAACATTATAATTCTTTTTAGTCTTAAAATAAACTTTATAAACTGTTCTTTTTCTTCTCTAATGTCTTTATTACATTTTTTTAGTTTTTTGATACATATATTCAGGGTTATAATGTTTCAATTTTTATTTGGCAATTATGCGAGAATTCGTATATTTTCGTGTATATTACAAATTAATCCCGGACCATGCACACAGAATGAGTCTCTGACTGTCCTTTTTAAATAAGTTTCAAATTTTCTTCAGCCATAGGTACCTACGCGCGCGGTTCGCTCCCACCACCGCTCACACCTCCCTCACCCACTTTTCCCTCCGGTCCCCGTCGCCCGCCTGCCACCAAGTGATCCAGAACATGTATTCCATAACTCCATGATCCAGTCCAGAATATACATTTTTTTGTGTATCAAGTGTGCTACGTAGAGAAGCAAAAAATGCAAAATGCTTACCTAATACCCCTATCCCCGCTTCCTCCTCCGCAACCGCTACCTCCACCATCTAATCATCCTCCAACAATATATGTCGCCTCTGCCTCCTTATCAGCCTCTGCTGCCGTTGCAGTAAGGTACCTTGCAAGGAATTGGTATAATTCCTCCTCATTAGGTAAATTGAGAAGTCGAGCATGAACTCGATTAGTTCGTCAATCGTACATGAAATTAAAAACTAGGAGGCTCTCGTCGAGCTCATGCTCGACTTCCTCCTCCTTTTCGGTGGAAGCATCCTCGTTGATAAAGATATTTTCAAATGTTTCCATGAAAGGGACATCCTCGTCCCCCTCGATATTATTTTGATCAAAATTATATGGCACTTTAAATTTCATTTTAACTGTTTAATTGTCTATTCCCGCACTAGACTGCTCACTGCACTATACTCTAGACTCCAGAGTAAATCAGAGTAAATGGATATACTGACTGGCTACTGGTTTTCACTGAGATTATATAGTGAAAATTATTGCAAATCATTTCCTTTTTCCCTAAAAGTGTTGTATGTGTTATCATAATATTTTTAAACGCGATATACGAAAATATCTTGCGAGAATATCTGAAGTATTGCACATTTTTATCGTTCAAATATCGATAGTGATACATGTCTGATATTGCGAGAACGTCGAATGTGATATATGTATACACGTTGTGAGAATATCTCAAGTAATATAAATTAAAATGTTTTTATGCTTTAAATAAATCCTAAATCGTAAGGATAAATTTTTATACGATATCATTAATTACCTAATTTGTGGAAGAAAGGATAGGTTAAAAATTATATTTGTACATATAATAATTGTTTATTATAATAAAAATAACATACATAGGTTAGCGCTCTCCGAAGACCAGAGCGATCAATTCACATTGGATTATATCATTACGGTTGAAAGATTCGTCATCGTAGATTGTTTTCAGTATATTCGCAGGTTCCGCGATAGTGGACGCGATATCGAAAAGTCGCGATAATTTTTTGTCAACGTTATTGGTAATCGAATTTAACGAGGAAATAAGACGATTTATACAATATTCCAGATTAAACATATTGAGCACGGTGTTTTTCGACATGGATAGGAGAGTCGTGGGTGTTTCCAAACGTAATATCGGTAGATTATTAATTCGTCCGAAACGTAACGTTAGATTTCCAATATACAATGGAGACGAAGGACGTATCCCTTTGGTCTCATCGTACTGCAAAAGGAACAGTATTATATGTTTCTGTTCGAGAAGTTCTCTCCAGATATCGGGTGAGAGTGAAATTTCCTTCCCATGACAATCTCCAAGAATGATGCTTATAGAGGAAGGTAGCTTGGCCTCGATACCAATGTTTAAATATTTATAGCCAGTTAGTATTAAAGGATATTTTCTTTCGAGAATTCGAACGATCGGATAACGCATAATTTGATATCTGTAATTTTAAAGAAAGTATGAGATATAAAATACAGGGTGGGGAAAAAGTATGGAAGCAAACAA